CCGCCAGTCGGTGGCCTACTTCTGCCGGCTCTTCGAGGCGGCCATCGGCGCGGGCAAGGCGAAGCGGGCGCAGTGTCTCGCCGAGACGACCACTGCCTAGAGTCAGTCAATCGAGTTTAGTGTAGTGTGTATAGTGGCAACGGTTCATTCAGGCTGTAAATATATAAACAAAGAAAACAAAGACATCGCTCGATCTTCACCAGCCGCCACCACCACCCCCTCCGTGCAGGTACCCCGCCAGGTCCTCATTGGCCAGCGCCTGGTCGTTCTGCTTCCGCCGGCGGGCGGCATTCGCGTCGCCCTTCACTGCCTTCGGGTGAAAGCGAGAGCGCTCCCGTTGCGCCCTTTTGGCGCCCTCCCGCGCCAGCCGCTGCTTCACCTCCGCCGGACTGAAGGTGGAGGCGGTGGAGTGGGCGACGCTCTGCCGGTCCGTCTGGTCCACCAGCAGGTGATGGGCTGGTCTCAGGTGGCTGTGGCTGTGGTCTTCGGGGAAGGTGTCACGCTCTTCAGCCTCCCTGGAAAGCGTCAGCTCGGCGAGCTTGCCGCCCTCGAGCAGCAGCTTCTCCTGCGCCTCGGCGATCAGCGCGTCGTTCATCTGCTCGTAGTAGAGCGGCGGCGAGGACTCCTCGATTTTTCCAGTTTTATCTGTGCTGTTGGTGTTGTGGTTGCTGCTGCTGGGCAGACTGTTGAGGAACTTGGAGAGCATGTCCTGAGGCTCTGCGAGAGTTTGCTGTTGTTGGACCTCCTCTTCTTGAAGTGTTTCGGATTTACCACCATCACCGCCACCACCTTTCTCCTTTTCAATGTGCTGCAGCAGGGTCGCCTCGTCGTCGAGCAGGTCGGCGAGCTGCTTTAGCTCGCTAGTTGATTCTAAAGAAACAAATTTAGTACATGAAGTAGAAAAACCTCACAAAAGCGCTCTGGATGTCCTTACCGGAAATCTCCAGCGCCTCAAAGGCCGGTGCACTGTCCGACTCGAAGTTGAAGCGCTTCACGAAGAAGTCGACGATGCAGCCGACGTCCCGCTCAAAGTACGTCGGCCCTAGCTCGTGGCCCACTGAGACCATCTGCGGAAAGTCGATCATCACCGGGTCGCGGCCCTCATTGTTGCGCAGCAGAATGTTGAACTCGTTGAAGTCGCCGTGGACGACGCCGAACTCATTGGCTAGCTTCATGATGATGGCCATCAGCTTCTCGTAGAGCTGCTCGATCTTCTCCTCATTTCCATCTTCTCCAACTAAATCCTCCCGACTGATGTGATTCAGCAGTCGTCCGTCAATCAGTTCCATGACGATGGCGTGCCGGTTGTAGTCCACCGGCTCGGGAATGGGCAGCAGCTGCCGCTCGTGGAGCAGCTTCATGAAGGCGTACTCGCGAATGGCCGCCAGCCGACTGAGGTAGATCCAGCTGGCCGCCTTGTGGGAGGCGCCCTTCCGCTGGTAGTCCCGCTTCTCGGAGACCTTGCGGAAGCAGGTCCGCCCGAGGCGGTGCAACTTCACCGCAAAGAGGCGGCCCTCGTCGTTGGAGGCGACGTAGACGTCCGACTCCTTGCCGACGCCGATCTGGTTGCCGATGGAGGAGATGACGCCTGCAAAATTAGAAATAGAAGAGAATGTTAGAAGAGAAATAGAAGCGGGAAATAGAAACCGATAACCGCTCACCTCTGGCGCGGAGGACATTGAGCGCCAGGAAGTCGTAACCACTGTAGGTCAGCCGGTAGCCGTCGTACCGCTTGCCGCGCTCAAAGGTGAGCAGCTTCTTGTCGCACAGGTAGAGGAGGACGGAGTTGATGGAGGAGCCGTTGTTGATGCCCGAGATCGAGTACACCAGCGCCCGCGGCACCAGCTCGTGGTTTCGCATGCCCATCTCCACGGCGGTGAGCGCGCGAAAGTGGTCGCGTGTCAGGTAGCGCAGCTGGCTGGCGTCCAGCTTCACCATCTTGAGGTTCTTTTGTTAGAGGAAGAAGTTATAAGAATCTTGAGAAGGAAGTTCAAGGAATTTCAAAGTTTTTGGGACCGATTCGAAAAACAGCAGCAGCAGCTGAAAAAACACAAACAAAAATCCCACGTGAGTGTTTTTGCGTTTTTGAGGGCCGCTCATAGAGGAGGTAAGTGTTGCCCACGCTGCCGCCGCCGCCGCTGCTGCTGCTGGCGAACAATCTGTCGTCTTTGTTTCCTTGTTCTCAAGTTGCTCTCAAGATGATCGTCTCTTCGGCTGCTGTTTTGGTTGCTCTATTTCCTCGTCGAGGTAAATGTTTGGTGTGCCAGTTATGTAAACGGTCTATTTTATCTTTGATCTTTTAGGTGGTGATTCTCTTGTCGGGTGCTGTGGTGGTGGTAGTGGTGGATACTCGAACAAAGCAATTCGAACAATCTGTTCGAGAACTATTGATCAACATTCTTTCGACTTGGTTCACGGTTCCCCACTGGCTATTTCTGGTTACCACTCGATCTGCCGACTACGAAGACTGGATTACGGACAATTTCGCCAGCAAAACTTTCTTCTCAGCC